ATACAAGTAACTTTCACTGCTCTCATTAACTATGGAAAAAACTTACTAGTGGTCATTAAAAGATAATAATAATTCCTCCAGTTATGTATTACCTTCTATTCAAACATCATCCAAACACTCACTGCATACTGCAGGACCAATAATAAACAGAAAGGAGAAAGGTGTGGGGGCTGCATCATGGAGCAGTTAGTCTGAGATAGATAAGTTGTTAGCAGTATAGTGACAAGAACACCTAACTGTAAAAATTCAATTTAGGTGCAACCCAAATGATACTGTATTAATAAAGTAGATTTCAGAATACAGAGGAAATCTCCATTTCTTAAGTTTTACTGACAAAGAAATAAACATTTGTTTTTAAGGGTGGCTGAATACTGAATTTACTGAAGTTGGTAAGTGTACTGAGGTTGTGTAAGAGATATCCCCTTTCAGGAAATACACATTCAAATATTTAGAGATAAAGGGTCACAATGCATGTAACTTACCCTCAAACGGTTAAAAAAAAAAAAAAAAACCACTGTGTGTGTGTGTGTGTGTGTGTGTGTGTGTGTAGAATGGGAGAGGAGGAGGGAGAGAATAGAGATACAAAACTAATAGGATAAAATGTTAATAATAAATCAATCTGTATACTATATCATTTTTTATAATACCTTTAGTTTTTGAATTTTTATACATGTATGAACTTATTTCCAAATAAAGCTTTTTAAAAAGAACAAGAAGCAGATGAGGAAAAAATAGCAAAATACTGATAATTCTTAAAGATGGGTTATGGATAGGTGGGGATTCATTCTACCAATCTCCCTACTTTTATCCATCTTTGAAGTTTTCCACAATAAAATGTTACAAAAAAAGGGGAGGTGAGTCAGCTACTGTAACTGTATGTACGTTAGCTACTAAAGTGACTGGAAATGAATGGATAAATACACACACACACACACACACACACACACACACACACACACAGGAATATTATTCAACCTTCAAAAAGAATGAAAGCTTGCCACATGCTATGACGTGGACAGAGCTAGAGTGTATTATGCTGAGTGAAATAAGTCAATCAGAGAAGGACAAATACCATATGATTGCACTCATATGTCTTATTTAAGAAACAAAACAGATGAACATATGGGATAAAAAGATAAAAGAGAGGGAAACAAACCATTAGAGAGTCTTAAAGATAGAGAACAAACTGAGGATTGATGGTGGGAGGTGGATGGGGGATGGGCTAGATGAGTGATGGGTACTTAGGAGGGCATTTGTTGTGATGAGCACTGGGTGTTGTATGTAAGTGATGAATCACTGAATTCTACTCCTGAAGCCAGTATTGCAGTATGTTAAGTAACTAGAATTTAAATAAAAATTGGAGAAGAGAAAGATAATAATAAAGTGACTGCAAAACAGAAGGCATTCAATAAACGACAGACATGTTATTATAAACTGAATTCACATCTATCTTGAATGTAGACAAGGTATTAGCTGTTGGTCTTAAATTACAAACAAGAATCTATTGACAATCCACAAACATAAGGCGCTCTGCTGGAGACTGCAGTGAACATGCTTGCATAAGTCAAGCACCAGCTGACGTACTCAGGACTCAAGTGGTGATCAGAAAGGACCAGAAAGCAAAGGTCAGGAGTCAAAGAAACTGAGCTCAAGTGCAAACCAACATCACCTCCTATGTGATCTTAGATAATAACCAGGAACATCTCTTCATCAATCACATTAAAAAGGTGAAATCATGTGTTTGACAAGGTTGCTACAAGAAAAAAGTGAAATACACAAGAAGTTGCTCTATGACCTCTCAAGTGTTATATACATGTTAGTTCTCATTGTATTGCGTGTAGAGCCCAGGTGCGGAGGTGATGTCTATACACAGTAATCGTAACACAAAGCAGAGTGCTAAGTCCGCCACAGGAAAAGATCACCCCTGGCTAGGAGAGAACAGGAAATCTTCGTGGAGGAAGTGGTACCTGAGACAGCGCTTAACGGATGGATGGGCAGAAAAAAGTCAGAGAGGAGGAAACAGGATCGTAGGTGGAAGCGATAATCCAAGAAAGGACATGAAAGGGAGAAAGCGTAAGGCATGTAAAGAGTAACAGAGTTATGGCTAGAGTCTGAGAAACAAATACAGCAGTAGAATAACTAAATCTGAAAAAGTGAGGATAAACCGGAGAAGGCCTTGCCTAACTCCTGTGAGGGTCCAGATGTGTGGTTCACCGCTCACCTAGCACAAGCAAGCTCCTCTTCCCTGCTAGTGCCAACAAAACTTCACTATCCAAAGCTATAAAGTTTTCCAAAATAAGGTGCTCAGTTTCAAAGGAAATTAATCAAGTCAAACCTACCATACGTACACTGCTGCGACAGTAAATGGCTTTCTATAATCAGGAAAAACTCAATCCCAGTGAAGATAAATGTCACCCAAAAGAGTTTATATTTGGCTTTGGAGTATTTTTTTTTTTCAGGGAGGAGCTTCCAAGTCATATTTTTCTTAAGCCGATGCTAAAGTAAGAAGATTCCCAGGGTACCTGGGTGGCTCAGTCGGTTAAACACCCCACCTTCAGCTCAGATCATGATTTCACAGTTTGGGAGTTCGGGCCCTGCATCAGGCTCTGCACTGCTGGTGCAGAGCCTGCTTAGCATTCTCTCTCTCTCCCCCTCTCTCTCGACCCCTCCCCTACTTTCTCTCTCTGGGTCCCTCTCTCAAAATAAATAAATAAACTTTAAAAAAAAAAAAAGTAAGAAAATTCCTTAACTACCCACCAAAAGATCTTCAAAAGTGGTCATACAACTGAAGTCAAATGTTCTTGTAAACCTGACTGACTTTCACAGAATGTGGCTTAATTCAAAATTACGTGACTATTTTTCCTTTCTTATCCTTTTTGTTCACAATAAATAGCTGTACTTTTTAGGAAGAGAACATCCTTTTGCTGTTTTTTTGTAATCCTTTGAGTCACCTACTGTGAAATAATGAATAATCACTCCATCATGATTTATACCTTTATATGACTAATCTCATGAAGACGTAAGAAGGTACGTAAAATGTCTTGTGACTATAGCACACTAAAAATCTTAAGTCCATTTTAATGCCCTTAACTGAATATTAAATTTTTTTCACTGCTACCTCTCCTCCTGACTCTGAATGTTAAATTTTTTACTGGTGAGAAGAAAGGCCATAGAACCATTGCAAGTTATAAGGAAATAAGCTCAGAGATCATTTATTCCGGCCTTCTCCTTCAAGAGGCAAAAAAAAGCGGAAGCTAGGGAAATTAAGGGACTTCCTTCTGATACACTGCTAACTAGGTAGAAATAGCTCTAAAGTTTAAAAGGTTTTTGGCACCTGGTACCGATGACACCACATTCCCATACTGGACATTCTTCTGACGACACATAACTCCAAGAAAAACTAAACATTACACACAAATCTATGTTTGCCCTTAAAAAACAAACAAAAACCAGAAAAGTGCAAAGAATTGGCATTGTTTCGAAGAAAGCAGTTAATGAACTTATACTATCTCCCCCCCGCCGCAAATCTGCAACCATACCGAAGTACTGGAAAATACTCAGCTTTTATAACCTCATACCAGTTTAATGATCGAAAAAAGAAAACACGAGAAGCCAGTGCTATGCTGCGTCCGGAAGCCATGAATGCCTCCCCATCAGAAACAAGGGCAGCGGATAGGAGCAAAGCAGAGAACGAACTTCGGCGGGTCTGGCATGCCAGGGAGCCTGCTCAGCACGAAGGACAGAGCTAGCAGGGAGCACAAACGTAATTCAACCCACAGTGTTAAAAGAAATCAAAGGAAGGCAAATCTGGAAAGCCTGGCCTGGAGGTCAATTCCAAAAGTCAACAGAGGTCTTTAAAAAAAAAAAATGTTTTTAATGTTTTATTTATTTTTGAGAGAGAGAGAGAGACAGAGTATGAGCAGGGGAGGGGTGGAGAGAGAAGGAGACACAGAATCAGAAGCAGGCTCCAGGGCTCGAACTTGTGAACCTCGAGATCATGACCTGAGCTGAAGTCGGATGCTCAACTGACGGAGCCAGCCAGGTGCCCAACAGAGGTCTTTCAACCCAAAGACGTTCCCAAGACTCATTACCTAGTACATTACCAAGCGGGACTATACTTCCACATCAAACTGCTATCCCTCGCGGTGTGGAGGGCACGCTGCAGCCAGGATTCGGCCGTGGGACTGGGCTCGACGTAGAGTTCCTTCAAACAGCCGAGCCCTGCACTACGCAAGGAAGGCCTACGCGGCTGCTTTAGTAAGAGGCGCCTGCAGACCCTACAGCTGCCACACTGCCAGCCTGGTTTCTGATTCTCCTTCAGAATAAAGCAGAAGGTCGGGTTCCGTGACTTCACACGACACGGGCACGCCGCCCTAACTAGAGAAAGGACCAGAGCTCCTGCTGCCACTCCCAGGGTCTTCACACCCGACACCGCGAACCGGAAATGAGGCTTCACTGTCTGGGAGGGAAAGGTTTCCCTCAGTTAATGAAATCTGCTTCCAATCTGATAAAACCCGTGTTTGTGCCACTCCAGAATTCAATACAAAATTCTTCAAAATGTGCTCATTTGTCACTGAATGAATAAAACACAGAGTCTAACAAGAAAACTACACCTAATTAGTCACGTAAGATCCTGACCAATAACGCCTCTAAAACAGCAGTGTCTCCTCATACAGCACAGCAGTAAAAGGTTTCCAAGACCTTAACTGTATAATACTGTGCCGCTAAAGCGCACGCAATATGCATATTTATAAATATTATTCTTGGAAAGTGGTGTTTTACAGGTAAACAATCTATTCGTTATTTGCATATATTTCACCGCATTAATCGCTGCACTAAATGGACAAAATATGTTCAGTTACTTCCAGTATTTCGCATTCAGCCAGCTGCACAGGGCCAACGTAACCATCAGTAGTGGCAGCCAAGCAAACGCAGTTTCTTATGCCGATTAGACAAACTCTATCTACGCCAGAGAACTGACAAAACCTGATCAGACTTACTTGCTACTCCGGATGCGAGTCCATACAGCAGTCCGCCCCCATCGGATTGCTGTGGGAGAACGTGTGCTCCTGGAGGGGGCGGCTTCTCTTGTCTGATAAAGTTATACAATAGGGTTTTCACAAGTTTGCTGGTGTATGGAAGACTACACAAAAAGAAAAAAAGAAGAAAATCAAACCCGTGAAGTCGCCTGACTTTGTGTAACAATCTACAGAATCTATTAATATTAAAGGGATTAACACTTGGAAGGAACCTAGCACTGTCACATAATGGTGAAGATCGTGGGCTTTGAGATCAGACTTGAGGCTGAATTCTGGCTTTCCTGTTTCTATGCCACAGTTGTTGGTCAAATCACTTCAATTCTTGAGCTTCAGTTACCTTACTGGTAATCCCGTATAACAGGTGAGATATTATTAATTCAGGGTATTATACGGTACCTGGTGCTTGAAGGGAGATAGTACCATAGAATCAGTAGGGAAACACAAGAATTAAGAAAGCATTAATACAAAAGACTACACATTTTAAGTATGAAATCATTCAATTTATGCATGCACACACAAGACACATATGCATACAAGTGGTTTAGATGTTAACACTCTTTGCTTTAAAGTAATGGAATGAGAGGAGAAGGGAGAGAACGCAGGTGAAAAGGGACATGTGTCCACAAATTAAGGTGATAAATCAATTCCTGCCATCTAGGGAAAACTCTGTAATAGAATCCTGAGCCAAAGCCCAGGCTCCTTCTCTATTATCAGCGGTTTTCAAATATGTTCCAAAGAGCCCTAAGGGATTCTATGGCTGTGCCACAGGATACTCAAGGAGTGAGGTGACACACAGACAACCAAGGCAGCAAGGACAAGATGACAAAGACAGAGCTCCCACTCTCTGAGAACTTCCAAAGCTACTTGGTTTGTATCTGTTTTATAATCTCAAGTTCTGTGAAGACTGTGTCAATAGAAGATGCGTGTGTGTGTGTGTGTGTGTATTTTGTATCTACTCCCAGCCCCCCATTAGAGGACTGTAAGGTTCTGCTCAAGAGCAGAGCCCCCCATCCTAACACATGTCTGGCACATGGTTGCCACACAATAAGTATCTGTGACCACGTGAAAGTAGGAACTGTCAGCTAAGAGGCTGCTGGAGTACTCCAGACACAGGGTGACAGGGCAGAGATGATGGTCGTTTCAACGGGACTAGTGAGAGGGGGAGACTGAAAACAACTTCAGCGGACAGACATGACTGATGGGTGCTTACACATAGAGAAATGATGCAGAAGGAAGAAGGAGGAGGACTTCAACATTTCACTTCTACAAAGAAATCACTTGAGAAGGTAAGAAGCTGGGGGACGAAAGGGGCGGGGAGGACGGGCAGTTTAAACAGGAAAGCAGAAGTGGGTTACTTATGCGTGGGGTTTGGAGTGTGGACAGAATGACCGGAGGAAACGTTCGGCGGGACATCTGGGACAACGTTAAGGTTAGAGGACAAGACCCGAGACAGAGATTTGTACAATTAAAAAAAAAAAAAAAAA